GGAGAAGGGAGAGTAGAGAGAGAGGAGGAAGGAGAGAGAGAAAATAGAAGATGAAGAAGAGACGAGAGAGAGAGAGAGAGGAGAGAGAGAGAGAGGAGAGAGAGAGAGAGATGAGAGAGAGAGAGAGAGAATAAGGAGATAGATTAGTAGAGATAGAGATAGAAGCGAGCGGAGAGAAAAAAAAGAGAGGAGTAAGAGACAGAGACAGAGACAGAGACAGAGGACCAGAGACAGAGATGAGAGAGGAGAGAGAGGAGAGAGAGGGAGGGAGAGAGAGAAAGAAAGAGGAGGGGGGGGGGAAATATCAAAGTATCGCTGTTTTCTCTATAGATATGAAGCGCCACCACGTTTTCCTATCGGCACAGTTTAATTTGCATTAATTAGTCATAAAAGCATCACAGCTTGATGAGAGATGCAGCTGGATGCAGCAAGATATGATGATGCTGCAGATCATGCTTCTTAGCGCTCTTATCTTAGGGGGGAACAGGGAGTAACGAGGACAGGGCAAGAGAAGAGAGAGCAAGAGAGAGAGGCGGCGAAACAGAGAGATTGAGAGAGAGAGAGAGCGAGCGAGGTAGAGAGACAGACAGCCAGACAGACGCACAGAGAGAGAGAGACAGACAGAGAGAGACACACAGACAGACAGATAGAGAGAAGAGAGAGAGAGTAGGAGAGAGAGGCGAGAGAGCTGAGGAGCAGAGAGGAGAGAGAGAGAAGAGAGAGAGAGAGAGGAGAGAAAGAAGCGCGAGCGAGGCGAGCGAAGAAAACATGAATGAGAGAGTGCAAGAGAAAGACGTGTTCGCGCCCAGACATCGTCTGTTGCGTCGCCCGCGTGCGTCATTTGCCGCGTCTCCTCTCACTCATTCTACAGAAATTGCTTTCGAATCTGTCGACACTGTTTCCATTGATCTCCCTTGAGTCATTGTGCTAGCGGAATGATGAAATTTGCTCCCTGCCTCTCTCTCTCGCGCGGGACACACTCTCTTTAGAGTTGACTTTTTCCTCGCTACGAAAATATTTTCGTGGCTACTCAGCGAGAAAGGGTTTGCCATCAAAGCGAGAGGCGACGCCAACGTGACGCTGTCGCTTGTGCGATTCCTAGGCCGGAATCTCGGAGCGACAGCAAGCCGTGACCTTGACATGCGACTGACGTGAGACAAATGGCGGCGGGGGGAGTTGTCGGTCATCGTTTCTCTCTCTCTCTCTCCTCCTCTCCTACTCTCTCTCTCTCTCTCTCTCTCTCCCCCCGCCTTCTCTCTCTCTCTCTCTATTTCTATCTCTCCGCCACTTTATTAACACTTACACTTAGTCTCTCTCTTTCCACACGCACACTTGCACTCACACACTCTCGTTCACTCACTCTTTATTTTATCTGCTTTCTCTATTCTCTTCTCTCTCTCTCTCTCTATCTCATCTATCTATTACTCTTTACTTCCTCTCTCTTATTCTCTTTCTCGCTGACTGATATATCGCATGCTTTTCTCGTGTGTAAGCTATTTCATCCCACCACGTCTCGCTTCAACCACGTATGCGAAAAATTAAAACTTAATTAATTTGCCGCTATTATCACATCGGAACCATAAGATGATTAGCATTGAGGACCATACGCTGCAATCACATGAAGATTCAGATTTTAGTCCTGATCCACCCACACTCACACCACCACCACCACCACCCACCACCACTACCACTACCCCACCGCCCCACCACCACCAACCACCCACACCACCCACACCCCCCACACCACCACCGACACCACCCACCACCACCACCACCCCCACACACCCCACCACCACCACCAGCCACTCACACACCACCACCACCACCAGAACACCACCACCACACACACGCCAAACACCACACCACAGCCACCACCACCCACACCCTGACACGTACAAACTCTGCCCTTACAGTACTGTAAGCTTCGCGCATCTAAAAGCTTAACGCGCTCGGTAAATGCGAAGGGAAGGCATTTGACGCTCTAATATGATCGCTTCCGTGTCGGCGGATCAAATTCGAGACGCGAAACGTGGGCGATGAGCCTCCGACAGTGAATTTCTCTCTCAGGGAGGTCGTCTCTCTATACGAATACACACGCACGCACACACGCACGCAC